CTTTCCAGCAACAAGAAGTCTCTGTGGTCTTCAAATCCAAATTTCTTGAACTAAGGTCTAAATATTGGGATTGTCCACCTCTTTATACAGATGGGTTTAAGGATGGCAATAGGTTAGCAACCACTACAGTTACGCCATCCGAAATGCTATATGTAGCCTTACCACAACCAGCCTCTATTTTTACAGCAGAACTCGTGGTTATTCTACAGGCGTTTGAGTTTTCCAGCCATGTGGATATTCGGGGGAATGATCAGATGCGGCGGCTAAGGCTGCTTTCTTACTGCCTGTCTCTTTATTATTTAAGGTAATATTTAAGTTCGTTTATAGGCAGTCACGAGCCGCTTGGTGTACGTTCGGATTCTTTTTTTGCAGACTTTTGTAATGATTTTTTGACAATTATTTGTGTTATTGCTGCCGTCTGATTGTATGTTGCAACGAATGGGATTATTTGGTTGTCATATTGAATAATCAAATATGCTGTAACGAATTGGCCCATCCAATAACTCTCGCGCTGTTAAAATTCGGTGTTTAGGTTTCATATCAAGTCTAATTCAATGGAGTGGGTGAGCAGATTGAAGTGGTTTGCAATAGGTCTACCATTTATGTTATCTTACATAGTGAACAATTAGTTATATCAAATTTTATCCAACGCAAGTCATTCATGAGGAAGGTTTTTACGACAATTACGACACTAAGAACCTCTACATGGAATTGAACTAAAGCCATTAAAAGGGGAGGGGGTCATTTTTTCTATGAAGATTCAAAAGATAGTGGTTTTTAATTCGGCGCTAAAATAATTTTGAGTAACCCCTCTTTATCGAAAACAAGTCAAAATAGATCTGTGGAGTACGAATCCTAAATCCTATGAAACCTTAGGATTATTTGATTTGATTATGCCAGAAAAGGTGTGCTTAGGACGAAGTGAATAACATTGAGTAAAATTTCATTAAAATTGGTACCCTTGAATAATGTTATGTCCAGAAAATCCACACTCGTATCCCAATTGTTAGCTGTTAAATAGAGTTATTTTTAAAAATTTCGAAATATTCCCTAAAGTTATCTAGTGATTCGGTCCAAATGGTGAAAATGTCAAAAAATCTTCTATGAATGAAAGGTTTGTATCATGACATATACCATCATTTCGCATTAAACATATTTCTAAGAGATCTAAAAATTTCCTTATCAGGTATTTCTGCGCATGGGATTCTTTCAAAGACTTTCGGACAGCGTCTAAAACGGTATTGTTATCGATATTTGTATACATTGAAGTAACGTCCAATATAACGAGCATATTTAACAACCAATTCCTTCTCTAATAAACATAACGGTCAACTTTTCTGTAACTTACCAGTTCGAATATTGGTCAAATGCCCTCTACAATACGTAGGTGAAACTAAAAATTCTCTGAGATTAAAACCTGTTCTAAATAAGTTGATAAACGAAACTCAAACCAGTTTTATAGCTGGAAGATATATTAGGGAAAACACAAGACTCTTATATGACACCCTAGTGTTGCTCATAATCGATTTTGATTCGATTTTATGAAATTCTATAAGAAAAGTCTTGAATTAGTTTGGTCAAATTTTACAAGATGGATAGATATAATCCTTTTTGAAGCCCAAATGTGTGTTATTCAAAACAAATTTTCATCTGAATTATTCACTATTTCTAGAGGATGTCGACAAGGTGACCCACTTTCCCCATGCCTATTTATTTTCTGTGCAGAGGTCCTAAGTATCTTGATAAAAAATTACCCCGAAATAAACGGTATAAGATTGAGAAATAATCATTAAAAATAATTCAGTATGCAGACGACACAACTCTCTTCTTAGACGGTTCAAACAAATCACTTAAGGCTGCCCTTGATCTAATTTTACAATTTGCCAAATTTTCGGGTCTAAGTCCAAATCTTGACAAAACTCAAATAATTCCATTAGACAATTTACGAAATTCTAACTTACTCATCCAATCAGGCTATAACATAACTAACAGAACCTTTCACAGTACTAGGAATTACATATACACCAGATCTTGAAAATATTATAGAAATCAACGTTAGGAGTAAATAACACAAATAAAGAACCTCATTAATATTTGGTCAAAGCGGTACTTGAATGCTCTAGGAAAAATAACAGTTGTAAAAACTCTTCTGATACCTAAATAACTCATCTACTGATAAGCTTACCCACACCCGATCTTATAATATTAAAGGAAATAGAAAGCCTACTCCATAACTTTGTATAGTAAAAAAGACCGATTGTCTAGACCTCAACTGATCCAAATCTACCAACATTTCACAGAATATTTGGGTCTAAAATTAAACATACACAAAATTGCAAAATGTATAGGAGAAATCAAACAACCAGGTATTCCATATAACTCCCAAATATTAACTCAGAGCGAACAAAACTCCAAAACTATTTATGAAAGTCTAGTAAAAACTATCCCTTACTCAACAAAACACCAAGAAAAATGGAAATTGGTAATAAATGATCACACAAACAATCAGTGGACACAAATAAATAATGTATACCGTTTGAATGTACTCACGATGCCAGTTTACTGTGGTTGCAATACCAAATATTTCATAGGATAATAGGTACAAACTCTTATCTCCATATAATAGGTATAAAAGATAGGCATAACTGCGATCGTTGTACATCAGTTGAGACATATCTTCTAGGAATGTCAAATAATCACAAACCTTTGGAATGAATTATTTATATGGCTGAAAACTGATGATATAAAGGTGTCTATAGATAAACCTATTGTGATCTTTGGGGTTTATGGAAAAGAAGCAAACAAAAAATTGCACTGTTAACCATATCATTCTTATTGTGAAATTTTTGTGTACCGTACAATGTTTGATCTATAAATAAGTCGATAAAATACACGATGTATCGACACCCAGTGGTATAATTAACTTTTCTAAATATTTCATTATAACTAATGACAATTCCTTCAAGGAACAATGATTTTAAAAAAGTCATTAAAACAACATAAGTACAGTGGATATAAGGATTCAACGTCGAATTTCGTCAAAGTTAAAAAAAACAGAATTTTTTTTTGTCTAAGATGCTCAGATATTCTACAAAATAATTAAAATTGGTCTAAAGTCTAGAAAAACACGTTGTATGGATACCGGGTGGTATAATTAACTTCTCTTAGTACTTATCTTTAATATCAATTCATTATAACAAGTGACAATTCCTTCAAAGAACCATGATTTAAAATAAAAAATAGTAACTGACAAAATTAGATACGTAGCGTGATTTATTGTCACTGAAACAACATAAGAATATGGTCCACTTTGTTTTCCATAGAAATTTTCTGCTGACACGGAATCCGCTAATTGATCATGTGACTTCATTCGTTGGACTACATTCTAGCAGACGACACTTGGAATTCCGATTACCGCTTGGGATTATAAGGAAATTCGGAAAAATTGTGACGTTTGGTAATAACCGAAATCCGACATTTTGTATTTGTCAAAGTATAGGCTACATTAATACATTTTACTTTGCTTAAAACTACTGAATTCATTCTACTAGCTGATATTGTACAGAAAACCCATGTTTATCAAAACAAACTAATGCGGAGGTAGCGCAAGGTCGCTCATGTAAATTATTAAACATTTCCGGAAATCCACGAATAATAGGTTTCCACGAAATTAGGTTACTTGTGTTCCATGGTACTTTTTGCTGACACGGAACCCGTTAGTTTTTCACTTGACTTTATTCATTAGACTACGTTCTAGCAGACGACATGTGGAATTCCGATAACATAGCTTGGGATTATAAAGGAAATTCGGCCGAAAAAAAATTGTGAAATTTGGTAATAACTGAAGTCCGCCATTTTGCATAATTTGTCAAAGTATACATTATTGCATTTTACCTTGCTTGAAACTACTGGATTCATTCCACTAGCTGGCTTTGTACAAACAACCCATGTTTATCAAAACAAGCAAATGCGGAGGTCACGCCAGGTCGCACATGTAAATTATTAATCATTTCCGGAAATGCACGAAAAGTAGGTTAGCACGAAATTAGGTTACTTGGCTTTACCTATAAATTAACTCAAGAAGAAATAATGACTTTTGGGTTGACTGTAAGAACAAATCCACATTATAATGGGTAAGCCGAGGCACCCGAATCAATACTGTCACTACTTTTGTCAAAATTGCCTAAAGATAACATTTGATTCTACTAATTGTTAGTTGCAATTGGCCCTTTTGAAAATGGATCTATACAAAGGTTTGTTTATAACATTATAAGATTAAACATGATAATTTAAAGCCTACATAATGATCATATACTTATAAAAAATTCTTTTATAGCATATATGATATATGGAAGACTAAAAGAGTATCTTTGAATGAGAATTTTTTCTAAAAGGTCTGGATAATCTAATGCATGGGGGATAACTCTCATAAAGACACAAAGTTTCATTTTACATTTGCCATTTAATTATTTGGTGAAAATTTATTGGTTTAAAGTATCTCATAGATTGTGTCAGTCAGCAATATGTCTTCTTCTTGTCGCATGGGAAAGATTCAAACAGGTTTTTGATACTTAACATTTGTCTGATGCTTGTTATCAACTATTTTTTCGGTCACAATATAAAATTGAAAGACTTATCACAAACATCATTTATTATTGGTTTGTGATGGTGATTGACCAGTCCATTGAATAGCTAGCTTCAGATATTACTGACTTTACCTGCATTTTACCATACAAGGAAAAGGAAAAGACTAAATATTGATTTTTGCTTTTATTCTATGCATGAATAATAGGTAGATGACTGACTTTATTGGCTTATTCATGTATGACATACACATAGGTCTAGTGGTGTCACTATGAATATATTAACGTACAAATTTGTGTTTAATCATCATTATACTTTCTGAATAATAACCTTTTGTTTCATTGCCAGTACCTAAATTTATAATTTTTTTTTATCATATAAATGATACCAAATTATTTACACCCCTAAATTGTTATGTTGTTGTAGTTACTGGTTTAATAAATCCAAAGGAATTAGGAAGAACGTTAACTCACGAACACCTGTCAATTAATTCAAGTGCATTTTTTATTGAACCCTCTGATTCTGAGTTTAAACCAAATGCTCACAAACCAATTGCTCTGGATAATTTTGGCTGGATTCAAAGACACCCGTAAGTTGACATTATCAAAACTCTTTGACCGATGACTAAAAATCTTATGCCATTATTTTCTCCTAAATGCTGAAATTTGAATATGTCGTCTCTGTTATTTTTTAAATGATGCCAAAATTCATCTAGACTTATCAAGTAGTCTGAGTCAGTTGCAGCAAAGTCTAGAAGAAGTGAATGATCATAGTAAGTTCGGATCTTAGAAGCCCTTGTTTGCAGCCATCATAAGATAATCCTGGTTAAGAGATAGTTAAAACACAAATATCATTTTGTTCCCAAGATTACAGTGCCAGTTCTAGTCCTTTGATTCCCATGCAGGGTAGTCATCAAATGAATTGTCAAACCTTTGTCAGTGTACCTGTGTGGGTGATCTCTTGCCTTTTCTTATTATAAGGTTCAACCTCATGAAATGAAAAAATGGCTGATCTGTGAGTAATTTTCATGTGGCGAAAATGTAATTTCACACCTAATAAACACTGGAAAATAACACTCATAAAAACAGACTTTTTTGCCATTATTATTTGTTGAAAATCTCTTGACTTTAAAGATTTTTATCAGATTGCGACAGTCAGCTAAAAGTCTTCTTGTTAGTCATATCAGTTCTTTGTGTGACGTCACCTGCTATTTAGCAATAGTATTGTATAAAAGTCAGTTTTCGGCACTTGAAGCCTTTGACAGCTACTTAAGGTGAATGCATGCCATTAATCTGATTGGATATGAACAAAATATTTTGTTATCAAATAAATAGCTACAGTCACTTATCAAACCTACAAATTGATTCATCTGATGAAGAAACTATTATAGAAGAATTGAAATATTTGAAGGTATGTCTACTTTTCATTCTTTTATGTCTTTCCTCATTCAATTTAAACTCTTTTACTTGCAATGCGTTAATTATAGAAGTTAATGAGTTCAATTAAGAAGCCACTTTCCAGGTCATTTCATTGATGCAATAGATGCCTGGTTCCAAACCTTTCAGACTCTTTGTATCCAATTACTATGTTTAATGAGCCTCTTTGTTATCATGAACAAAGTAATAGAAATGAATACGTCCACCAAAAGTCGTTAAATTAAGATGTCTGAATCCATGGCCGATATTATACAAACAATCATATAAAATTGTCCAAGAAGTCTATCGAAGGTGTACACATAGGTTTTCCTGGTACATCTCGACTGTGCATATGATTTTACTGACCAATATTTGTCATAATATATCATTGATAAACCTTGATTTATTACCGCGGTAACTTGAGAGAAATTACCATATTTTTTGGTATATTGTTAGTAAATTCAAAAATTATGTGTGAAATATGAAGGATACAACATTTAAAATATTCAAGTTGTTCCAGAATTTTGACAAAATATCATTCTTTCTCTTCTTGTTTTATATTTAATTAACTTTTTATATTACACCAGCTATTTGCTTAACCTTCTCTTTATGGAAAGGATGTTGCCTTTTTATTTCAAATTTTGAATATCATTTTGTCATGATTTTGTTTTAGTACCAACTTGTTGTTTTTTATTTGTGTTGTAATGCCTTTTTTTGGTTTACTACTGTGATATTGCTTTTTATGATTGTTGTCGCCATTTTTATTGTTTTTATCTGTGTTTTTGCATCGTTGTATTTTTATCTCTTGTGTTTAGACTTGTTATGTTTTTATTTTATTCAGGTGCTATATAGCGGGTTCACCTTAATACATTTCATTTCATTTAATTTTATATACCAATAACCATTTGTTCAATAAAATTAAAGAATAAGAGAAATTTTATGTTCTAGTTATAGATAAAAATATATCACATTGCTTATTAGAAGTGAGGGAATGAAAGCAAATCTTGTGTTTTTGATTTCAGGCACATGGAGGCAGTGGAATAGTTGAGAATTCAACTGTAGGTCTTCATCCTGATATAAATTTTATTAAAAGAGCATCAGTGGAATCAGGAGTCAAAATAGTGGCTGCCACAGGTAACTTTTTTGCAACATATATTATAATGATAGTGACTTTAGAAATTCTGCGCTGGTTTCACTTTCTTAATGTGTTCATACCTTTAACCATATTATATAGGAATTTACAGGGATATAGTTGTTAAGGTATGCAAACCAATAACCAGAACTAAAATTCAACTGGTTACCATAGAATTTAGAAGAAACATATCATAAGTAATATTTTTTAAGATTATATTTGAGAAATCTATGTTTGAATTTTTTTGTATTCTAGGCTTTTATGTAGATGGTTTCCAAGATGAAACTACAAGAGCGTTGTCAGTAGAAAAGCTCTGTGAAAGAATTAGACATGATATTATCGAGGGAGTAAGAGAAACAGGGATCAAATGTGGTGTTATAGGGGAAGTTGGGTGCACATGGCCACTTTCTGGTATTTGATTTTATATCTGCCTATGAAAGAGCACATAAACTACAAGAGCGTTGTCAGTAGAAAAGCTCTGTGAAAGAATTAGACATGATATTATCGAGGGAGTAAGAGAAACAGGGATCAAATGTGGTGTTATAGGGGAAGTTGGGTGCACATGGCCACTTTCTGGTATTTGATTTTATATCTGCCTATGAAAGAGCACATAAACTACAAGAGCGTTGTCAGTAGAAAAGCTCTGTGAAAGAATTAGACATGATATTATCGAGGGAGTAAGAGAAACAGGGATCAAATGTGGTGTTATAGGGGAAGTTGGGTGCACATGGCCACTTTCTGGTATTTGATTTTACATCTGCCTATGAAAGAGCACATAATGTAATCTCAAATCCAAAAGATTGATTTTTTTAAATTGAAAAGGAGTATCAATTTTGCAATAGTACTGATTGTCATAGAATGACTTTGAGCTGATAAAATATATAAGATTAGTTCATACTAAGTCCTCTATAAAAGAAAATTTCAAAGTTATAATTAGTGATCATGGTTATGATTTAATCAAATGCTTCATTATACTAATTTGAAGCTGATATTCTTTGATATTGATATTCTTTCCTTAGAATTTGAAAAGAGATCAGTTCAAGCATCTGCTATCATGCAACAAGAATTGGGTGCACCAGTTATATTCCATCCTGGAAGGAACCAAGAGGCACCATTTGAAACATTACAGGTATTCCTTGAAGCTGGAGGAAAAACAGACAAAGCTGTCATGTCTCATTTAGATAGTAAGTATTGTCATCTGAGCTTATGTTACTCGTGTGTTTCAGATATAAAATCTATGATCATGACAATAGTTACTTGTTTAGGGTTATTATTGATTGAAACAGTCTATCTTTGCTTGCTATGCTTTTCCTGCAAGGTGGTTATGAAACATTTTTAACAAAATTGTACATTTGTAGGAACATTCTTGGATGAATCAAGACTTTTAGAATTTGCCAATACTGGTATATATTGTGAATATGATCTATTTGGAATTGAGATGTCAGACTACCAACTGTGTCCAAGTTTTGATATGCCTAGTGATGGACAGCGTATTCAATGGATCAAGCTTTTGTTAGATAATGGATATGATGATAAAGTTTTGATTGCTCATGATATGCATACAAAACATAGACTGGTATGTTGAAATGTTTATTTTCTTCTTTAAATAATCAATGTTTATGAAGGTGAGAATTATCGAGGATTATCAATACAGTACAGTGGACACAATATGCCTCTTAAAATTTGACTGTAGGCCTATACCTAATCTAACACATATTCCGAAAAAATTTGATCTTTGACTATAGTTGAGCAGAGTTATTGTTCAACTCGGAGTCTGATCAAAAAATGAGATAGTCCCGTTTTTGAAGGTAAAATAAATGTGTGTTCATTACTACAAAACTACTTCAATATAAAGTGGTTTATGGTTTGAATCAGGATTAGCACAATATCTGTTGTGGTCTATAACTCCATTTCAATGTTTCACTCATGTTAAAATTTCATTCCACATAATAATTATTATCTGTGTTGTTTTTTCTCAGATGAAATATGGTGGTCATGGTTATTCACACATATTGCTTAACATTTTACCTTACATGGAAAGAAGGGGAATAACCCAGCAAGAAATTGATAAAATACTTATTCACAATCCTAGAAAATGGTTGACATTTCTTAATTGATATTTGTCGCCATTTAAAAAGTAAAAGTTATAACAGAATAACTTATTACTTAAATGAAAGAATTAAATATGATAAAAGAAAATGCAGTTTAAATTCGTCTGTTTGTCTTAAAGTTATTTATTAGATAAACCCAACTCTTGGTTTTAATTATGAAAGTGCTACAATGTTATTCTTTGCCTATGTATTATTGATTATTGATGGAAATCAGGAATGTTTACATTCATTGTAAGCATCTTGTCATTGTATGTTATGTTTTCACAATAGTAAAATCAACAACAATATTAAAAAAAACAATATGCACATGTTTATCATTAATGAAGAAATACTGTTATTTTTATAAACTATTGTTATCTATTTTTGTGGACTGTTATTGTTATTGTTTTTGATGCGCATTTTAATCGCAATTATACCCTATACTCGCAAATCTGATTATTAATCTGCTGTCGAACTTCATAGGTATTAATGCAAAAATTTGAAAACATGAGATTTATTTGATTAGCAGAATATCGCTTATATTGGTATTTAATTATCTATGTTTTTAAAGTAATATATCTTGATCATTGTACATCTTATATACTGTTTTATAACAAAGCTCAAAATGTAAAATAAAACCTAATCCTAATTCTATCAGTCTGTTGCACAGTGTTATGCAATCACATGACTACAAAATAAACGTCACTGAAATTAATGGCTGGCTCCTTTCTCTATCATCAGAGCCAGATCTATACAGACATGTCGTGATTGTAGATGAGCCTCATCATGTGAGACCATCTGAATCTGTGACATATCTCAGCATATTTCACCAATGGCGACATATCACATTCGCGCCAAGTTAAATCACGCTGTATCAGTACCATATTTCACCACACCACATGATTGCCATGAGATATCCAGATAGCTAGTTGGTAGTTACTGTTGTGAAATGCCTCCAGAGGCGGATAAACCTATAGGCAAACTAGGCAGCTGCCTTTCGGCCCATGGAAAATTCGGCCATGACAATTTTGTTTCAGTAAAAAATATCAAACAGTTAATAAATTTCCGCAGGCCCATCGAAAATTGTCCTACAAGGAGGAGTCAGGGCTACCTCATACGTCAGTACGTCAGTGAGTTCGTCACTCCGTCAATGAGTTCGTCACTACGTCAGTGAGTTCGCCACTCCGTCACTGGAGTCCATCAATACGTCGATGCTACCTTACAATTTTATAACTTTTGTTTTTAATAAGTTCTTAAACGAAAAACGACATTTGACGGAGTATTTAAATCAAATCGTCTATAGAACATGTCAAAAACTAAAAAAAAAATTTTCGTACAAATTGGGGTATATCTAATTTCCATCAGTAAACGAAAATAAGATACAAGCTAATGACTTCGATTTTCGTGTTTTTAAAGCATCGTAACTCGTTTCTATTATTGTATGAACCTATATCAACATTCTTGCAGGATATCGATCTCAATTTGCTTATGGGTCGTGCAAGTGAAATATCTTGTATGTAGGCTATACAAATAGGCCAGAATTTTAACAATTCTTGGTATGTTTACGTATAATTTTGTGTACATCGTTTAATATGATTTTTTTACGAACGATTTTTGAGTTAATTGATTTCGATCTATCCAAAATAAACGAATTTGGCATGTGAATACGAACGAGACTGCAGTTGTAACCCGATCTTGATGGACTTTGGCATGTTATGTATATTGTTGAGAACTTTTCGCGATTTTTCTTCGAAATGTATTGGTGATCACTATAGAAAAAAAATTTCTTCTGCTTTTGTCGAAATTTGGAATGCTATATTGGAAATAACTTCGATCTTCGATTTATGTTCAATTAACGTTTTTTTAGTTATTGATCTTTGTTTGGCAAAAACAGCGTCAAAGTTTTCCTGGGAACACATTTATCTCTTCCACCGATTATTGTTTTGACATTAATTTGGTTATAATATATAACCGTAATTATTTACATCTGGTTATTATTTAAGATTTTGTAAACTTTTTATGATTATCAGGGACACTGATTTGCACCATTCTAATTTTCAGATCTGCGTTTTATTACTTCACCATCTGAAAGTTTCTTATATATTATTTTCAGTTTTTGCGATGGTTTAAAGGGAATTACATGAACCGCAGACGTCCTATTGAAAATTGGAATGGTGAAAATTGATCCTTTCAGTGTTCCTAATACATATGTGAAGTTAAAAAAAAAAACTTTGGACAATCTCTTTAATATGGAACAAATGATGTGAAAATATTTGTAGTCATAATCATATTGCATTTTTAATGAAAAAAGACGTTAAACTCCGACACTGGAATTGTTGCTTCTGAATGCGTTAGACAATATTTACATTATGCATTTGTAAGTAACGAGCCATATTGAAATGTGCTGTGATCAATGGAGATATTATATTATTTTTTTAAAAACAGAAGAATAAATGAGATTAAAGCTGCCATGATTATGATAACTGTGAAAATATATATTTTTTCAAAAACTTGTAATATTTTATGTCGAATTCTGGTATTCTTTTATTTTTAATAAAACAAATAATAAGACTAGAGCCACTCGTGGCACAGAGTGGGACTTTGCAAATGTAGCAATTTGCTAAAGACCCCGAAAAAATCAACCATCGACGATAATTAGGTCAAGCGCAAGAACAAGTCTAAAGTTGATAATTTTTTATTTTTTAGAAGATTCTAATACCGGAAGTAGACGTCAGACCTCACAAATGAAAGTATCAGCAGATAGCCAAGGTCAATGACCTTTGATCATGTAAAGGAGAAGGCCTAAAAAGGTCAAGATCAAGAGATATACGCCATTAAAATTTCAAATTGCTAACGACTATAAAACCAGAAGTTGACCTAGGACAGCAAATATAAAAGTATAAATAGATAGCCAATGCCAATGACGTTTGATCCTACAAAGGTCAAGGTCAACAAAGGTCAAGGTTAAAAATTGAAAATATTGAATTTCCAAAACCTGTTCCTTTTTTTGAACTATGAAGCGGAAACAACCAAGACAAAGTGGCTTAAAATATGAGGTAATTGTGTAAAAAGTTCCATTTTGCACAAATGTATACTTTGCGAGTTATGCCCGTGGCCAAAAATGTCAATAATGAGTAATTTAACCCGGAAGTGCCACGCCCAACTCAATTTTTTTTGAATAAGTTAATCAATATTCAAAATGTTACGTTATGTTCCAAATGTCAAGTTCCTACATAATAGAGGTCAAAAGATATAGGTCAACAAAAGTCAAAAAAGGTCAAAGTCGAAAAATGAAAATATCCAAATGTTAAAACCCGTTCCTTTTTTGAAACTATAAAGCTGAAACAACTGAGCTGTTAATACATACTGGCCAAAAGGATGAGGTAATTGTGTGCAAAGTCTCTTTTTGAACAAACGCATCCTATGCGAGTTATGCCCCAGCCCCAAAATGTAAACAATTAGTAATTCAACCCGCATGTGCCACGCCCACATAAGTTTTTTTGTCTTAGGTGAATTCATATTCAAAGTGTCTAGTTATATTCCAGATATCAAGGTTCTACATCAAATAGATCATAACATATACATACACTAAGCTCAAAAAGTCGCAAATATTGTAAAAAAAACAAAACTCAAATTTGAAAAAATCACGAATTTCAATTTTGCTTTAAAAAAACAATTGTTATATATCTATGTAAAGTACACGAGAAGCACATTAGGAAACCGAAAAAATTTACTCTCTAGGTTAATTAGGTCACGTGCTAGAACAGTCCAAAGTTGCGAATTTGGATGTTTTTGGACAGCTATAAAAGCGAAAGTAGACGTCAGAG